TTGTTGATTGTATTTAATGATAGCAATACCTCACAAGGAACCGGTATGTGCATAATGAAATACTAGGTGCTTGAGCATTACGTAGCAAAGGAGACAGTTATTAGAAGCCAATTTAAAATAATTAATTTTTAAGTAGTTTATAAAATAATTAAAAATTTATAATCTAATTCTATCGCTTGTATCTTTTCTTAATGTGGCCCACGTTTTAATGAAGAAACCTCAAACATCTCTTTCACAAACTCTTTCTGAACTCAAAATGCCACATTTTCCCCCCTAATGACAAGCAGAAGATCCAGAGGGGACTCATCTAACTGTTTTGAAAAATACTAAATGAACAATACCAGAAAGGTTTAGTAAAGCATATGCAAAGAATCAGAATGAGACAAAGCAGGTGACAGTCATCAGCCTGCTGCCCATAGAGGAGAGGAGGTTTAGTTACATCCAGCAACTAATATAGAGAGGGAGGCTCTACACCGCTTCGCCTAATCTATTATATTTGTCTTCATACCTATGGGAACAAAAAGCCATGCTGCTACAGTTCTTGTTTTCATCATCTAAAACCAAATTAGACCCACTATCAGACAGCTATCTTAATCTGCAAATCACTTTGACTGTAATGACTTAATTAACCTCTGGTCACATGCCTGCATCAAGCTCATGCATTTTCATTTCAGTTATAGCGTAGTTTCTACATGGTTTACCTCTGTCATGAGGTTACAGAGGTATTCCACAGAAGGCACTGAATAAAGATAGGAAGAAAAAAATGTTTTTTCTCCAGGGAAATTTCTCAAGAATTAAAAAAAATGCCTGCCTTGCACCAAGATGAAAACAAAACCTGTCCTTTTTTTTAACTGAAGGCGGCAGTGGCAGCCTGTCTTAGATGAGCAGGTAGCCCAGCCGTTGGCAGATGCACAAAGGAAGCAAGGTTGTGTCTATCTTGACCCTGAGATGGCCAAGTCAGGGAGAACACGTGGAGGTGGTTGAGAACGGACCTCCCAAGTATAAGGTCGGAAGGGTCTATAAATCCCATCTGCTCTTGCAGACCCTGGGTCATCGTATGTCCGACATCAAAGGACGTGGCCACACAGGACAGTGGAGCTCAACGCGATTTGCTTCGGTACTTGGGGCCACGATAAAAGGTCTGAGATTCCTCCCTGAGTGCTCCTCAGGGATTGCATCCAGCCGAAACCCGGGTTGTGTCCACGTAGTGAGGAAGGCTGAGTCCCCCTCAAGCACCACCCTATGGTCACGCTCAATGTTTGATAAATACGGTTTAAGAAACAAGGTCCTGGTTTGTGCCTCATTTTGCACCAGGAGTTGAACCTGTTGCTTTCTCATTCACTGAGTCGTCTGATTCTTCCAGAGAGGAAACTTTCGCCTTCCTAGGGAAATTCCCAACAGCCCGGGCATGTGTCACAGCCACTGCTGGACTGAGTAACTCTGCCAGCTCAGCCCGAAATACTTGTATTGCCAGTATGGACAGACAACTGGCACAAATCTATTGTTCCCAGAAACCGCGTTTTTGTTAAAGCTGCCTGTAAGGAATAAACACAAAAACTGCCCATTTACCACATGAAACCCAACATTTTCTGAAACATTAATTAATTTATGCACTGATGTTTAGGGATGAGTGTCACATGACTTCTAAAATCTGATTTTCAGAGGTTCTGAGAACTCGGGTAAACCTTGTTTGCGACTTTTATTTTTTTTAATTTTGTATTCAAAGCAAAGTACTGTTCTTTTCTTAGGCTTATTTATTTTCCTGGAATGATAGATAATCAATATATTTAACTTAAAACATGAAGACTAACATAGCTTTGTAGTGAAAGCATACTGAAAGGGGCTCAATGTGGTGTTAAGGTCCCAGTCCTCCAAACTGGGAGATGTGTTGTAAGAAAAGCGTTTCGAGAGCTTTGCGCAGTTGCTCTGAGTACCTTACTAATCTATTTTTTTAGCTGAACATGGGATATTTTGATCTTTTGTAAAAATATATCAACCCTTTGAAGATAAAAGGTCTCTTGATGCCTAACACCCTGATGAAAACCAGACGACAGGTAGCAGATTTTATCTATGAAGAAAGAATTTTAGTTACTTTGGTTTGTGCTTTAGCTCTGATTCTTGTTCCTGTTGACCTAGACATTCTCTTTTAGTAAAGTTCAACGTTAATAGCCAGGAGGATTGATGATGTTTAAATACAGCGAAGACTTAAAATTTCGTATCATCTAGGTAGCAGAAATGCAGACAAATTCTCTGCTGGTGCTAAGGCGTTTGACTACACCAGATCTATGATGCTTTATGTAGAGAGAAATTTGGACCCTGGGGAATGGATTTGTGAGTCTCATACAAATTACTGTCTTTAGTGTCCTAATTGATTCCATCTGTAGTTTTACACCCTTTCCTTTTTTCTTCCTCTTTCCTTTGTAGTCAGAGCTACCTTCAAACTGCAAGTGACGTGCCTGGGGGTCACAACCTGGATCCCTCTGCAAACTACAATTCCCCAAAGTTTCGCTCAAGGAATCAGAGCTATATGAGAGCAGTGAGCACGCTCAGTCAGGCCAGCTGTGTTAGTCAGGTGGGAAATTCTTGTTATCACTTTTCTTATAGGTTAATCGCAGATGTGAGAGTTGTTTCTAGTGGATGGTTTTAGGGGTTTTTTTCGTTAATACCGAACTGAGGATGTGAATTGTCAAAGTAATTGAGTTCTAAGGAACGTAACCCTTGTTCAGAATTTCAGGAAAAATACTGGATGCTAGAAGCGAAGCGACACTATCATGTATAATATGTTCCATTTATTTATCATTAAAAATATAAATACTGATATTTTCATTTTAAGTCTACATTAAATATCTAAATGTTAAGAAGATTCAGACTGAGCATAAGGGGCACACTCCTACAATACTCATCCTCTGAAAATATCTACTCTGATTTCAGTAAATGTGGCTTGCCAGATTAAGGTATAGAAATAATTATGCTCCAAAGGAGCAGTGATTCATCTCTAAACTCAATCCCTCACCCTTCTTGGGTGAAAGTCCCGTCAATTATTCTATGTATGGGGACTTCTGAAAAGAGACAATTTTCCACCCTGCTGGTTTTGTGTTGCTTAGTTAGCACTGATTCAGGTTGAAGTGAGATCTGAATCAGGCCTGAAGTGCAAGCAGCCTCATGAAGTACGTGCATGTTCTGTTTAGCAGAGGACTTTACGTAAAATTTCCAATGTTTCTGATGTTCGTTGGTCCTGACATTTCTTCCCTGTGTTGCTTCATGACAGGTGGGCCCTGCCCTCTTCTCAGACATGTGTTACTTTATTATTCTTTGACCATTTGGTGAGGCACCTGAGGGTGTAGTAGCTAATTATGCACGATGGTTATGTTAAAAAAAAAATCTTTTTAAAGCAATTTTATATTCATTCACATTCAGTTTGCATTGCATGGTTATTCAGGCCTGGATTCAACTCATCTAACTTGAGGTTTTTAACTGAGGCAACAGCTAAAGCTTCCTCTGTAGTTAATGGAGTGAAAGAGTTTCTTCCAGGACAGTGCGCATCCCAAGTGGGCTGAGAGCCCTCTGGAAATGCTTGTCAGTCTCCTCTGACTGTAGAGAGTTGGGAGGGACTAGTCGCCTGACTAATGCCCTTCAGTCAATCCCTTGATTTATGTGGGATAAAGCTAAGTATAATCTTGTATAGCAGAGATCAGAATTAGAAACAGTCAGTCAGTCATTTCCCAAACTTTTCATTATCTTTCATAGCTCCCTTGTGAAACCTGTCCCCATCATTCTCATGCCTTGGTTTTCATTACCCTGGTTTGGTTATTTTCTATTTTTGTTACACTCTGGTTTTAAGAAAGTTTCACACAAATTAGATCCTGCATTCAAAGCAAATGCTGTTGGCTGTCACCTAACAATGCAATAGAATAGAACTATTCTAACCTCTTCTGCCTCTGACCATGTTCACTGAGCTGTCCATAATGACTAATTGGTTTCAGCAGTGGTTAAAATTCTTCATTCCAATGTGCCTTACCTGGAAAGATGTCCACAATAGATGTCATTTGCGAGTAGATTGCTCAATTGGCCAGATTAACTAAACCTGCTGGATATAGTTCCTTGCTTGCTTTTTCAGTCTTCACTACCTATGTAATTTTATGTCAACCACATGCTTCCTACCTCACAGTCCAGCTGTTTCCAGACCAGTAATAAATGCATTTAATAGATACGACACAAAGTAAAGGTATTAAAATAACAAGTTCTGAACCTTTGCTCTTTCCTGTTCTTTTTCCATGACACCATCGTCTTCTTGTCCCATCTACATAATGGCAGTTTGAATGATTTGTGGTATTTTTAATGCCTTTGGTTTTGTGAGATCCTTCCTTTCTCACTCATGACCAAGGGTAGAGTCAAGAAAGATGCTGGGTTCCATGGTTTATATTTTTAATTTAAGTTTTAAAACTTTTATTTTCCTGTTGTCAATGACCTTCGTTTGAAAGAAGTGGTTAGGTCTTAGTGTTTATGGACTACATTACCATAAATTTCCTGGCCAATGTTGTATGCAAAATACTTCCGAGTAAGTTTGTGGGGGTTTTTTAATTTTTTTGAGATTGCATTAGTCTACTTAACTTTATTAGAATCAAATGTTATGAAGGGTAATGTAATTCCTTTCAGAAGAGATTTAGTAGCCTAAATGTCTTACATGAAATTAAAATATTAGTTATTCATTATCATCAGAAGTTCTGTATGAAATTTCCATTTACTTAATCAAAATCCTAAAACATTTGCAACATTTGCACTCACTCTGTTTCCATAATGAATAATGTACTAGGAACAGTAATTATGAAAATGCACTTAGCAGCCATATAGAAAAAGTAATATCAACTGGACATGCCATTTAGTGACGCTATGAATTTAACTTGGTATTTATACTGATTCTGATTTCTAGCACTCTCTTTTTAAAAAAATTATTATCAGGAGGGCATATCAGGAGGTTGTGTGTTTGTCTGCCTAGTGTTAACTTCCTGTCTGAATTTGGGTAAACATAATTGTGAATTATTCAGGTACATTTACAGGTAGTTAGGGCTGACTTCAGAGACCCTGTTAAAAATAATGCAGGTAGAATTTAGGCACTCATCTTCAAAACTGCAATACACAGTTCCCCTACCAAGAGGTTCACTAAGCCTGGCCAGCCTGCCTAAACCCTGTTTATCATGACAGCAACCTAAAAAAGTACAGTTTTGCATCATGCCCAACCTGCAGGGCAGGATCAGCAGGTAGATGCTGGCCCCTGCCCAGGGCGTGTGGGGAACTGGAGGCTGGTGCCAAAATCCCCCAAGGGGCCAACCTCGTAGGTGATGCAGGGTGGCACATCTAGGATGCTCTGATGGGCAAGGTGTCTCGGCACTGATGGCAGAAGTATCAGACTTAAAATCGTGCTTCTGAAGAACAGGCAGCAGTAGCGGCTGCGTCTCATTTCTCCACGGTAGTTGAACGGCTAGCCCGGTTAACTGGGGAATGAGTGTGGTTTAGGGCCCTTCTCAGCTAAAGGTGGTCCACGCGTTATTTTCTCGTCTGACCACTTTTCACTCTGTTTCAGACAACGGTTATTCTTTCACATGCTTCACTGGACACAACTCCAGATGCAATATTTCTCAAACCTTTCAGAAATATCACCTCCTCTGACCTTACACATCTTCAAGTATGAGATACTTCCTTGAGCTGCCCCTTTGTAGTGAGAAGAAGATCACCTGCCACACAGGCTAAATGTCCACAGGAGTAGTAACTTTGCTAATAAGTGAGGAACCCAGGCAATCCACCCTCACCTTTTAAGGCTAATATTACTATAGCTGATTTCTCTTCTCCCATCCTGGCAGAACGTGGATTTCTATCAGCGCAGAGTGATCTTGTTGGTTACCATTAAATCATGTATTTACAATCCTCTGGATATGCCAAAAGATACTAAATGTAAAATTAATTGTATGGCATGTGTGATGTACTTACTATATGCATATAAACAGCTGATGTAAGTTAAAAAAAATGTGAATGTGATCAGAAGGGATTACTACATTTTAACTATTTGCTAAAACAGTTCTTCATCAATGTACAGGTGTCCATTTGAGATGTTGAGGCCGTGATGATCACAAAAAAGCAAGTCAAAAATCAAATGCATTGTTGTTGTTTATTCAGATGAGTGAAGCAGAGGTTAATGGGCAATTTGAATCGGTGTGTGAATCAGTGTTTAGTGAAGTTGAAGCTCAGGCAATGGATGCCCTTGACCTCCCTGGATGTTTCCGAACAAGAAGCCACAGTTACTTGCGTGCCATTCAGGCAGGCTATTCCCAGGATGATGAATGTATACCTGCGATGGCATCTTCCAACATCACCTCAACTATCAGGTCAGCCACAGGTAAGCAAATCTCCATTGACCCTTCCACTGTTCTGCATGTTAAAATATGTCATCTCGTTTTGTAAAAGGATGTTTGACACTGGAAACAATTTCCCTGTGTAGTGATAATGTTTGATACCGGTATTCTTAGGTTTGTGATAGTGTACCGTTATGGCTACAGCTTGGAATGAGCTCCTTCTAGGGAGAACCCTGCAAGCGTAATATAATGGACCTGGACTTTTGACCTCCATTTCCCATGCATACACTTATCCAGGTGCAAATATAAAAGCGCAAGTGCAAATGGTATCATTTAGATATTGTTAGACATTTAGGTATTTTTATCTATCAAGTAACTGATCTTCTAAACGAGATCAGGTGCACCGATTTTCATGTAGGTCCTTAAAGTACCAAAAGAAAATTTAAATATTTGGTCTAAACACTTACAGGCAATTAACTTAACAGGGAATTACTTACTTTTAGAAAAGGTGTAACCAGTTGTGTCAATACGCTGAATCACAAACATTGTGGCAAGCTTCATACATCTGCTATTACTCATCAGTAACCATTAACCTTCAGTGTTGTACCATTCACTGTTAGGATCTTCTAACATTCTTCTGGCAACTTTCTTTTCTCTTATTAGTTGCTTAGCAAAGATGATAGCTTTATTCATTTTAGAGTATTAGCATTTAGTATTGGTGGAGAGAAGATTGCACAGGTAGCAGTTAGATAATTAAAATGAAATCTATAACAAATACGTATTCTTTGTTAAGTGATCCAAATTCACTTTTATGTTTCCAAATATATTGATGTCAGTTCCTAATTACAATATTGTCCTTGCCACATGCTGTTAAATTGCAGTGCAGCCTACCCATCTACAAAAGGTAAAAATAGAGCTCAAAATGTCTCATGCAAAAATACTTTTTAAATTATTTGCTTGACACATCTGTTGTATAACAGAACAGTGGGAGCTTAGAAAGGAAGTAAGCTGAGGTTGAATAACATACATTTGCGTTCTGGAAGTAGCATAAAACCTTATTTTATCTTAAGCGTGGTATTTTAATTGCTGTATATAACTTTGTGTAAAACCAGAAGTTGTGGCTTGCAGTGCCACCTCTAGGGATGTTTCTGTCCCTTGTTTAATAGAGATGCCATCATGATATAAAATGAGATTTTATTGCTACCCCAGAGACTAATTTTCATCTTTGTCATGCAGTACTGTGTGATTATTATGAAGAAACTTTTCATGGCAAAAGACACAACTAAATATCTGTTTTGGTGTCTGACTGCACGTACTGAACTGGAATACTTTCAGAGTTACTTTAGTTACCGAGTTGATTGGTTTTAACCTAAGCTGTCTTGAGTTCATATGCTAGCTAAGTGCAAAATTCTCACTGAAAGTAATTTATTTTTATTTTCTCTAGAGCAACGAAGTTGAATAATAGAATATGTTTGGGAAAATAACCACATTAGGCAGTAAATATGTTTGCATCCCAGTGTCTTCGTACTTAAAATCATTTTGCATTGATTAGCAGTCTGCTGATTAAATGCTGTGGTTTTGAAAACTTTAACCTTCGTTTTACACACATGGTTTGTCCCTCATCTCAGAAAAGGTTTATCAGATAGATTTTCTTGCCCACATATGTAATCTTTCTGCTTTGTTGTGGTGAGGTGATATTGGCGGTGTGGAGAAAAAAGATGATTTGAGATGTTTTCCTGAGCCAAATCTGTTTTCAAGCCTATGGACTGTATACAGTTCTGAGTGTGGTTCTGTATTCAAAATATCATCTCTGTACCACTGAACAAGTTTGTCCTTGGCTTCTACATAAGATAAATATTCAAATTAGAAATATTTCTCTGATTTACAAGAAGAGTAAGGATTATGTGACTCACTATTAATTGAAAATGTCAGTTGCCAAATAAGTCCTCATTTTTAAAACCCTAGGGGTAACTCTTCCATATTTCTCTCTCCAGCCTCTGTGACTTTGGAGGGAGATGCTTCATTTCCTATCATTATTATAATTTAAAAAAAAAAAAAATCTTACTTCTCCAGCCCTCTCTGAAAATTGTAAAAGAAGCAGTTGCCTGAAATGTGAAAATAACGTTGGCAAATATTTGACGTTTATACAGGCTTCATCAAATAAATGTCAAAAAGGTCAAAGTTTCACATCAGCCTTCTGTTCCAATTCAGTCATTTGAAATCTTAGGAAAATTACATTACATTAATTCCTTTTTTGCTTCTGATGTAACAAATTCTTCTTGGCAAAGAAACTAAAGCAATTTCTTAGAAAATTAACAGGCATTGCAATTTAATTATTACTTGAAATTTTAGTGATATAGGTCGTGACTGCTTCTTATCGATGTTGTAAAGCAATTAAATCATAACACACAGGCTTAGCTAAAAATTAATTCACGTAACTAAAAATGTAAATCTAAAATAAAAAAATATAATATTTGATCTATGAATTCAATTACAAAAGTACGGAATACATATTTACAGCACGCGGTTTCCTAAAATGTTCCTAGATGCATTAACAGCTTTCAGAAGGTAGGAAGGTTGCAACTATAGTGAATATTATGTGCAACATTATTAATGGACTGTGTTCACAGGGTTTTCTAATAGATGGAAAAAGAAGTACCAGTAACTAGCTCTTCTTAACCATATCCAAATTGACAGAGAAAGCCCGATGGTTCATTGATAATATCTACAGTGCTAATGAACACGTAACTTTTGCATGGACCCACGTGGTTTAATTATTTGTGGAACCGGGCTTCTCCAGCTCTGATGGAGACTGTGTGACAAGAGCCAGGGCACTACCTGCTGCCCCGGGTGTGAACGGATGGGACAAGGGACAGTGCAGAGGAGGCAGCCAGCGCTGCTGGCACGCTGTCAGCTGGGCCTGGACTCTCTGTGACCCCCGCTAAGACTCATATTTCATTGTGGTTAGGGCATTTCTAGCCATCCCGTTTCGTTTTGTAAAGAGATAATGAACCCAGTTAAAAAAAATACTTCATCTTAAAAGCCCTGAATGACAGCATATGCTTTCTGGCTCTGAACTGCATCCAGTCGCAGCTGTCAGATGCACAGCTGAGAAAATACAGCTCCAGCTGCTCCCGCCTCCCACCTCGTCCCTCCGTCGCAGACAACATGTAATTTCCTGAATGGGAAGTCACAGAGTGCAGTAGTCATCCTAAGTACTACTGCCTTCCATCTGTGCTACTCTTGCAAGCAATGCTTCACTTTTCAGGAAGAGTTCCTAAAATCTGGGTCGCTTTTCCAGCTTGGCTCCCTATTGTCTATGTATATCTGTATGTATATATGCTCCGCTGTCAGCTTGGCAGGCTCCTTCCCGCTCGTGTCTGGGTAACGTAGCAGAGTGCCGCGGGGAGGTACGCAAGGTACCGGAGGTCTCGGAGCTGCGTCACCACCGGCTCGGTGCGTCGTGAGCCCGGGATGCGGGGTCCTGTTGGGAACCGGCGGGCGCTGGGCTGGGAGCAGTGCCCCAGCACCACGTTATCCTGCCCGCAATACCCGGGTTGCCTTCCTGACAAGTAATTCAGATACCCTGGTACAACACTGGCTTGTACTGTGAAAGCATAACCAACGAGGAGGTCTGGCAGGTATTAACCTCTCTCTCTCATTTCTCCTGAGAAGGTCAACTTATTTTTGTTAGGGGTCCTATATGTAGAGAGAGTCCTGTGTATGACTTACTCCTTCTGTTATGGAATTTTTCAGGATGTTTCCTCACAGGTTTGTTTTTTTTTTTTTTGTTTGGTTTTACCGTGAATGCAGAAATACTTCGTGCGTTGCAGTGGTACTGGAGGGAGCGGTTAGGGTGGTCTGTCGTGAAGCAGAAGAACATGTTAATATTCCTTCTCTGGGACAGAGAGTAATTTGGGATTTGCACCTTTGGCCAGCCAGGATAACCTGAACATCAGGTTATGGTCTGTTCACATGTGAGGGGCTCACTCGTTTTCTCCTGATGGCGTTATTATACGCTGCGTAAACCACTTTCACTTTCTTTGAGAGAGGCACTGCCGCTCTAGCCCGCTGCTCAGGACACTCACCCGTCGGTTGGGATATCTGCTCAGTGAATATTGCTTTTATATGCAAATTGAAATAGCTAAAGCAGAAAAGACTAAATATCCTATAGGGAGGAACTGAAGCACTCCAGTCAGAGGTGTGAAATCCTTCTCCAGCAACAAGCACTGACTGAGTGGCTTCAGTTAAGTTCTTCAGCTTTTAGGCTGATGAATAAAAGGGAGCATCATTTTCAGTTTCTTAAAACTACTTCACATTTTCCCCTAACCTGAGTTCTTTGGCTCCAACTGTATTTTTTGATGAATGGATTCATGACAGAAAAAAATCCACCTAGCTATGAACTTCAGCACAATGGAGATTGGGTTGTGATACATAAAGGCATCCTGGATTTCTGTCCAAGTGTCAGTCCAAGATCACTTCTCCGGCTTCAGGGATTTCCAGTTGATCTTGAGCGATATTTAGTATGAAGCACTGCTGATTTCAGGGGGTATAGTTACTAGCCTTAAGTGGCCAAGCTGTACAATGACCATTTTTCTAGGAAACGTGGCATAATGCAAACCTGTCAGATCAGTTGTATATGCACCTCCTTTTATCTCATTCATAGCAGGTAGCTCTACTAAACTCATGCTTACTAAAGAGTCCGCTGAAAAAGATGAGCAGGAGGGAACTGTCTTTTGTCCATTTTACTTTTCTCAGGCAGCAGGACTCTGCTTGGCAATGAGTAAACTTCAGAGAATTCCACATTTACTGAGCTATTGAGCACTAATTCCAAAACCAATTAATTCAAACAAGGTCACATTGCATGAGGGAGTTTTCAATTACAGCTCACACGATTACTCAGAATGCCTGAGGAATTGCAAGTTTCCTTCCTCCTGACTTAAAGCTATTTTCAGCTTTCCATTTTTGAAATAAGGGGCTACATAGGGTGAATTTTTAGAGCCCCTGCTTGATATTTAAGTCACAAAGCTCTCATCGCCAGTAA